AGACAACTGGCTGTTGCAGGAGCCTCCAGGGAGACAACTGGCTGTTGCAGGAGCCTCCAGGGAGACAACTGGCTGTTGCAGGAGCCTCCAGGGAGACAACTGGCTGTTGCAGGAGCCTCCAGGGAGACAACTGGCTGTTGCAGGAGCCTCCAGGGAGACAACTGGCTGTTGCAGGAGCCTCCATGGAGACAACTGGCTGTTGTACGAGCCTCCAGGGAGACAACTGGCTGTTGTAGGAGCCTCCAGGGAGTACAACTGGCTGTTGTACGAGTCCGGGGAGACAACTGGCTGTTGCAGAGCCTCCATGGAGAAACTGGCTGTTGTACGAGCCTCCAGGGAGACAACTGGCTGTTGTAGGAGCCTCCAGGAGACAACTGGCTGTTGCAGGAGCCTCCATGGAGACAACTGGCTGTTGTACGAGCCTCCAGGGAGACAACTGGCTGTTGTAGGAGCCTCCAGGGAGACAACTGGCTGTTGTACGAGCCTCCAGGGAGACAACTGGCTGTTGCAGGAGCCTCCATGGAGACAACTGGCTGTTGTACGAGCCTCCAGGGAGACAACTGGCTGTTGTAGGAGCCTCCAGGAGACAACTGGCTGTTGTACGAGCCTCCAGGGAGACAACTGGCTGTTGTACGAGCCTCCAGGGAGACAACTGGCTGTTGTACGAGCCTCCAGGGAGACAACTGGCTGTTGTAGGAGCCTCCAGGGAGACAACTGGCTGTTGTAGGAGCCTCCAGGAGACAACTGGCTGTTGTAGGAGCCTCCAGGGAGACAACTGGCTGTTGTACGAGCCTCCAGGGAGACAACTGGCTGTTGTACGAGCCTCCAGGGAGACAACTGGCTGTTGTAGGAGCCTCCAGGAGACAACTGGCTGCTTCACGGTCTGTCTTCCATCCTCTTCTCTTCTGACTGTCATGGAGTTTCCATTTTCAAAATTGATAATTTTTCGAAAATTCTAATTTCCTCTGAAAATATAATAAAAAATAATAACACTAAGTTTCGTGAATGTCTGTGAAAATCAGACGCGGCCTCATAATGCCTCAGCGACCTCACATTTATCAAGTATCAACTTTATATATGTATATTTTTTTATGTATTTGCGGGGACTGTGAGTCTTGAATTAGTGTATAATTCTTCAGCACGTTCTCGTACAACACGTGATAAACGTTCCGATTTTAAACGCTTCCTGATTATTTTTTTCTGGCGACCTCGTTGCCAGGCGTATTGCGGCCGTTTTTTTTTTTTTTCTTATTTGTGGTTAAAATATATTTTTTTATTGGTTCATGTAATATGTAACCCAACCCAATCCAGCTTACCCTAACCCATCCTAACTTAATCTATTCTAAGTTAACCTATCTTAACTTAACCCCATCCTAACTTAACCTATCCTAACTTAACTTATCCTAACTTAACCTAACCTAACCAAACGTACAAAAATGATCCGAAAATTGGAAACAATAAGCAAATGATAGTGAGTGACATGTTCAAAAAATATTAAAATGACAAGGTTCAATTTCAGAAGAGTTTAGGTATAAGTGAAACAAACACGTTTATATGTGCGTCTGGCAGCGCGGTGCAGCCGACACAACTCTCCTTCCCACGGCAACAAGAGCAAGCTTCCTCTTATGTGGGCAAAACGTAAAAATAATTGAACACCAGAAAACGTAGAACACTTGAGCTAATCTTCCGGAGATAAAATTTATGTGTTTACCCAGCAGGTCAGCTGTGTTGAGCATATTACTGTAGGACGCCGCTCTTTACTAGTTTCCACCGGCGATTATCTTTCTTCTTTTACTAATTGCCTTTGCCACTTTTCGAGGGGTTTTGAAAGTCAGCCAGATTCTGTCTTTTATGTTGCAGGATGGCATCTACATTTTAAAATTACTTTTGAAGGTGAGAACATATATTTACTCATGGAATGGGATGTTGTAAAACAAAAAGGGATCGTTCGTCTGGCAACGTTTGGTATAAGTAAGGTAATCTAGTGGTGAACTGAGTCAGGCAGCAAGAAGCAGACGGCGCCTGCCAGACCTCCTCCTCTTACACTTTATAAAACTATTTTCTTAGCACTTCTCGACTTATTCCACAATAACTCTACGCTTTTCTAATACAAAACTTCGCAAGGTAATCTCGGGATAACTTGTTCAAACAAATAAGAGAAACTAAAACTTTGTAATTGGCTTAAGTTAGTGAAGTGACAGTAGCTGGGTGAGGAAGCTGGAAACTTAGACACTTCTGCTCCAGGTATTACAAGACACAGTTATTATTACACTTTCCTATGTTGGAGAGAGAGATGGTGATAGACCATGGAGGAAAGGGAGAGTACTGCAAGTAGAGGAGAAAGGGTACTGGCGGGGAGGGAATAGAGGACAGGAAAGAGAAAGAGCACAGGGAGAGAGTGCCATGGGAATGCTAGAACAAGGGTAGGGGAGTTAGAGAAGAAGAGTAGGGTGGTAGAAGAGAGCAAGAGGATATATTACACGTCACACACCTGTGAAAATATGAGTGCGTCGTAAAAACAGTAATTTCAAATTTGCTTCAGCTGCTGTGCAACATGTAATTCCTCGAGCATTTCCTGCACTGTGTTGCAGTCCCACCAAGCTTCAACTCATCTCTGTATTTACGATACATCACTAAGAACAGACACGGAAAATTACACACACATAGGGCTGATGAGCGAAGAGATGGGGCCAAGAGCTATGACTCGACTCCTGCAGTCACTATATAAATATATATATATATATATATTATATATATATATATATATATATATATATATATATATATATATATATATATATATAATATATATATATATATATATAATATATATATATATATAATATATTATTATATATATATCCACATTGAGCAGTATAGAAATAACACGAATATTTCCGAGAATAAGATATAGGCGCAAAACCTGGTCATCTTTGAGAGACGTATTGCCTCTGAAGTAAGATTTATCAATCTTTTACGGAGGCATGAGAGGTGCAGTAGTTGAAGACTTAGACACTAGTGGGCGGGTCCTACTAGTGAATGAATTACTCAACACGTGTAGTATATTCAGCACAATTATGGAGGCTTGATCCTCCGTCCTTTAGGCTCAGCCTTGTCTCTGGCCAGTCAGGCTGCTGGTAATCTTCAGCAGATAATGTACCTAGTGATACAATCTATCCACGTTTTATTGCACATTCTAAGAGAGAACCACTGCTTCGCGCTGCCAGACGTAAACCACCTGTGTTTATATTTCGTCAGTGTGGGTTAATTATAAGTTGACGTAAGTTAACATAAGTAACTTTTATCCAACTGAAGATAACCAAAATTAAATTTCCAAAGATCGACAACCAATACTAAAACTCCCCAACCCCTTCAAGTTGCTAGGTTGTTCTCTCCCCCCCCCTCCCGGGCTTGACTATAGGTGCCCTAGCCTAGCTACACCAGAGCACTGCCATAGACTCCACCTAGATTCTTAGTACATCTTCAATTGTGATCCCTTGTTTCTGTGTCCCATCTTTGGAACATCCTGTCTCTGTCCACCTTATCTATTCCTCTCTGTATTTTGTATCGTTAGAGTGGGCAGAATTAAACACAAAGAAACTGCACGTTCAACTGAAGAATGGCACTCTGTGCTCCTAATCTTAAAAAGAAATTGTGTTCGTGGACTACCCAAATGTAAGTATCGAAACTTTTAATTGCAACTGTACCATACGAGGCACAAAACTGATTGTACCGCACGGGAACACTGATCGTACTACACGGGCACATTGATCGTACTACATGGGAACACTGATCATACTGCAAAGAAATCTATCGTTTCACACGAGAACTGATCATACAACTCGTTTACTAAATAATCGTACAGCTCGGAAACATTGAATATACAGCAAGGAAACACTGATCGTACTGCATAAGAACACAGATCGTACCGCACAGAAACACTGATTGTACTGCATTAGAACGCTGATCATACTGCACAGAAACTGATCGCACTGCATGGAAGCCCAGTCTTAATGATGAAGTCACTCGTGGTGAAACGTTCCCTTTAATAAATGTCCTGAACTGTGCACAAATGTCATTTTCTATACTTTTCCGGCATCACCATACCAGTTACAAGCCACACGGGAATTGATCGTACAACACGAGAACTGATCGTACCGCATGAAAACACTTATCGTACCGCACAGAAACACTGATACGTGGGAACACTGATCGTACTGCATAGGAACACTGATCATACTGCATGGGAACACTGATCGTACTGCATGGAACCTAACGTATCACACGGAACACTGATCGTACTACACCGGAACACTGATTGTACCAGAAGGAAAACTGATCAACTGAGGGAATGTA